GGAGCCGGTTCGAAGATACTGGACTGAACCTCCGATGGCTGAGCGGCGTATCTGAACAACTATCAGTGTTGGAATATACGTTTGCTCTCCTCAGCTGGGCTCAGCAGTTTACATACAAATACGTATACAGAAACCAATGAGCAACCTTACTGTCACCACCACATGTTGTGCATATCCCGCCCCCACACTGACAACCATCTACGTCAAATTCCTCCCTAGACCCAACCTACACTCCCATCGGAATCAGTGGTGGTGGGTTCATAGGCGCCAACTGAGCCATCCGTTCATCCAAGAGTTGACACGCCGTATCGATCTCCTCTTGACCAGTGAGGAAGACCAATATGTCTCCAGGCTGTTCAGTGAGATGAATCTGCATCACTGTCATCAACGCCGCTTGAACGTAGTCTTCCTCTGGCTCGTTCGAGTAGAGGATCTCCACCGGGAATGTACGCCCCGGAATGGTGAAAATGTGAGAGTCGAAGAAATATCGGCTGAACTTCTCAGCATCGAGAGTGGCACTCGTGACGATAAGCTTGAGGTCATTGCGCTCTCTGATCGCCTCCTTACACAGACCAAACAGTACATCCGTGTGAATCGTACGCTAAGAAAAATAAATTCACCGAAACCCACCAGGAGCTGCCCTACCTCGTGTGCCTCGTCCAACATAATCACTGAATACTTCTTTAACAGAGGATCAGCCAGAGCCTCCCGAAGGAGCATACCATCAGTCATATACTTTATCCGAGTTTCCGGAGATGTGTGGTCCTCAAATCTGATATCGGCACGGTCAAGAAATACAGCATGTCAAAGCTCCTCACCGAATCGTATATCCGACCTCCTGGCCCAGCCGACATCCATACTCCTCAGCGACACGCTTAGCGACCGTAATAGCAGCCACACGCCTCGGCTGAGTGCAACCTATGATCCCATGGTCGGCGTACCCTGCCTCAGCCATATATCTGAGCAGCGTGCCATTTTTTTGAGAAAATCCCGGAATTTTCGATTTCTCTTCCAACAAGGACAGTTTCCCTCTGAATTTGAAGCCGCCGAGAGCCAGTCACATTGCAGATACTATATCAAGAGGAATAGATAATACTCGTAACCGTTTCACTGATATTCAGGCAAGCGCTATTTTCACCACTCACAACCGTGCCAGTTCCTCAAGTAACTCACAGTACTATGCCAACACTTAAATGTCCACCCCACATAATCATCCCAGACTTACTGCGTCATCTGTGTGGTCTTCCCACTGCCAGTTTCACCGATGACAATAAGAACCTACATACCAATTTGAAATCCTAAACAGCGTACACCTCTCACCTGATTCTCAGCCATAGCCTGTAAAAGCTGACTACGCAGTTTGAAAATCGGCAAACCCTCGCGTTGTTCCCGCATCGGCAGGGCCGAACGTTGACCATAGGCAACTCCAGTGGGGGCTTAATACCACAAAAATCAAGTCAGAGCGAACCTAATTGTTATCTGCTTACCACCGTGCTTCCGAATCTGGTTCTGCGATGCGCTGTTCATCGTAATACTACGCAAGTTCTGTGCTAGAGTACCTAGGACCAGAAAGTATGCTTCGTAACTCATCTCTAATTCTATACATCAACAACGACAAAGCGATGTCGATTTCCACACCTCTTGCTAGTCGTTTAAGAAACTCAGTCCACATGAAGACATGTCACTTCAAGAATTCCCAAATTGAACTATCCATAATGAGTATACTTCACCACCCGACACCCCTCACCGAAGACTAACGATGATAGCCACGGACCACTTACGTTCGCCCTGATGTGGGTTTGGATCCTCCCATGGTCTACTCATATCCTTCGGGATAGCCTTGATGACTTGCTCCTGCATGGCCTGTTTAGATTCACGACGCTCTTGAGCCAAAGTCGCTTGCTGTATAGCGGCTCGCTGAATGCAAGAAAAACTTTATCAACACGAGTGTGGGAAAATATGCACATGGTCAACTACATGTGCTGATGACAATTAAGGAAATCTGAGGAAATTGCAGAGAACTGTCGTTGATTTTTGCGCACTCCCACCCAGATTCGTGTATAAATTTCAGTAACGGAATGAAGAAAACAAACATATATTCCCACGCTGACTACAGCAGTGTTGGAGATATGCTCGCTTTCCTCAGCTGAGCTCAGGAGTTTCCTCCATGATTATGAATTCGGGTCGAAGTGTTTAGAAACCAACAATAATTTCTCAAAATTTCCTCTAAATTTCCATATTGCCGCCAACACATGAGCATATTTTTTTACACTGTACGATAGAATGACAGTTCCAACAGAACATTCATATTTGTCATCAACATTACCTGTAGACTTCCATCAGGTTCTTTAACAATACGTACCGGCGAGAGAATGACCCCGGTCTTGGCAGTCTGGCCAGCCAGGAACTTCGGCTCAGTGTCGGCTACTTCCAATTCAACCTAATACAATCAAATTTCACCCGTGATATGAAAAAAAACCTATTTCACGACTACTGCAGG